GCAGCAGACAACGCTGCTGCTGCTGCTGCTGCTGCTGCTGTCTGCTTCAGCAGGATGATCGTGATGGTTGGGTTTGCATGCGTTTGTTAATTTCTTTTAATTATTTTAATATTAATATTTATAGAATTTATATTATTTTATTATTGCTGTTGCTGCTGCTGCTGTTGCTGCTGCTGCTGCTGCTGCTGCTGCTGCTGCTGATCAGCAGCAGACAGACCACCGGTGTGTGTGTGTTTCTGTGTGAGCTCAGCAACTATAAAGAATATAAATAAAATAAATAAAATAATAAATAAAGAATATAATTAAATTTTATAAATAAATAAATTTATTACTAGCAACAAAAAAAAAAAATAAATAAAGAGCTGAGCATACACCCGGAGCGTAGACACCGGCAGCCCCCCCTGGGGTGTACATGCAGCTCTTGTATATAAAAAAAACGAGAAAAACGATTAAAATATAAATAAATGTTTTGTTTTTTATTAATATTATTATTTATTTAAATAAAATAAATTAAATACACTCATCAGCAGAGAAAAAAAGAAAAAAACTAAACCCTCTCTGTGTATGAGGCATACACAGAGCGGCTAGCCACCAGGGGGGCCCCCTTTGTTTATTTTGTTTTTATTTTTTTCTTTTTTCTTTTTTTGTTGTTTTATTTTATTTTAATTTATTTATTTTATTATATTTATACAGCACAAAGAAATCCGCATGCTTTGTCTTATTCTCTCCTGGCTTATATAACCACTCATACATCTAAACCCTAAACCCTAAACCCTAAACCCTAAACCCTAATATTTCTCATCAGGCCGCATGCATCAACAGCCTTGGGGGCCCCAGAAGACCCTTTCTTTAGGGGGCCCCTAAGGCCCACTGAATGCATGCATTCGCGTTTGCTGCTGCAGCAGCAGCTGCAGCAGCAGCAGCAGCAGCAGCAGCAGCAGCAACAGCTGCAGCAGCAGCAGCAGCAGCAGCAGATACAATCTCTCCTCCTGGTTGCTGCCTCCTCTCCTCTCTCCTCTCCCGATAAACAATAACCTATCTCTATCTCTCTCTAAAACAAAAACAAAAATCTCTCTCTTTCTCTTTCTCTCTCAAGGGTTTAGGGTTTAGGGTTTAGGGTTTAGGGTTTAGGGTTTCGTGTATATAGAGAAAATGTTTGCGGGGCTTAAAGAGATGCTGCCGGGGCAGCAGAAGCCCCCTCCCCCCTCTCAGACCCCAGCGCAGCCTGGGGGCCCCTCTGGGGCCCCCGCGGGGGCCCCCCAGGGGGCCCCCCAGGGGGGCCCCCAGGGGGCCCCCCCCCCAGAACAGGGAGAGGGAGCAGCAGCAGAAGCAGCAGAAGTGAATGCAACAATACAAGAAGGAGAAGAACCACTGGATGAAGCAGAAGTAGAAAAAATGCTGTTTGATGAATATTTAGGTTTGTTGCTGCTGCTGTTGCTGCTGTTGCTGCTGTTGCTGTTGCTGCTGCTGTTGCTGGTGTTGGTGTTGGTGGTGTTGCTGCTGTTGCTGCTGCTGCTGTTGCTGCTGTTGGTGTTGGTGTTGGTGTTGGTTTTGTTGGCGTTGCTTTTGGTGCTGTTGGTGTTGCTGCTGCTGCTGTTGCTGCTGCTGTTGCTGCTGTTGCCGCTGCTGTTGCTGCTGCTGCTGCTGGTACGGGGGCTGCTGCATCCGCATCAGCAGCAA